CACACACCCGTATGTATGTATGTATGTAATGTATGTATGTATGTGTGTATATATGTAGTGTATGTATGTATGTATGAATGAATGTATGTAATGTACGTATGTATGTATGTATGTATGTATGTATGTATGTATGTATGTATGTATGTATATGTATGTATGTATGTATGTATGTATGAATGTAATGTATGTATGTATGTACGTATGTATGTATGTATGTAATGTAATGTATGTATGTATGTATGTATGTATGTATGTATGTATGTATGTATGTATGTATGTATGTATGTATGTATGTATGTATGTATGTATGTATGTAATGTATGTATGTATGTATGTATGTATGTATGTATGTATGTATGTATGTATGTATGTATGTATGTATGTATGTATGTATGTATGTATGTATGTATGTATGTATGTATGTATGTATGTATGTATGTATGTATGTATGTATGTATGTATGTATGTATGTATGTATGTATGTATGTATGTATGTATGTATGTATGTATGTATGTATGTATGTATGTATGTATGTATGTATGTATGTATGTATGTATGTATGTATGTATGTATGTAATGTATGTATGTATGTATGTATGTATGTATGTATGTATGTATGTATGTATGTATGTATGTATGTATGTATGTATGTATGTATGTATGTATGTATGTATGTAATGTATGTATGTAATGTATGTCTGTATGTATGTATGTATGTATGTATGTAATGTAATGTAATGTAATGTAATGTATTGTAATGTATGTATGTATATTATGTATCTATGTATGTAATGTAATGTAATGTAATGTACTGTAATGTGATGTAGTGCAATGTAATGTAGTGTAATGTAATGTATGCAATGTATGTAATGTATGTATGTATGTATGTAGGTATGCATGTATGTATGTATGTAATGTATGTATGTATGTATGTATGCATGCATACCTACACACATTAAATCACATACATACATACATACATACATTACATTACATTACATTACATACATACATGCACACATACATACATACATACATAACATACATACATACATACATACATACATACATACATACATACATTGTACACATACATCCATACATTACATTACATTACATTACACTACATTACATTACATTAGCATACAGTACATTCATACATGCATACATACATGCATACATTACATACATACATACATACATTACAAACATACATACATCAATACATACATTACATACGTTACATTGCATCAAACATACATACCTACATACATACATTACATAATTACATACATTACATACATACATAGATACATTACATACATTGCATACATTACATACTTACATACATACATTACATACATACATACATACATACATACATACATACATACATACATTACATTACATTACATTACATTACATACATACATACATACATACATTACATACATTACACACATGACATACATTACATACATTACATACATCACATACATTACATACATTTCATACATACATACATACATACATACATTACATACATACATTGCAGACATACAGACATACATACATGAATACATTACATATATACATACACACACATGCATACATACATACATTACATTACACTACACTACACTACATTACATTACGTACATACATACTGACATTAATTACATACATATATGTAATGTACGTAAGTAAGTATGTATGTATGTATGTATGTATGTATGTATGTATGTATGTATGTAATGTCTGTATGTATGTATGTATGTATGATGTATGTATGTATGTATGTATGTATGTATGTATGTATGTAATGTATGTAATGTATGTATGTATGTAATGTATGAAATGTAATGTATGTATGTATGTATGTATGTATGTGTGTGTGTGATTCTATGTATATGGTTTGTATGTGTTGCAATGTAATGTAATGTAATGTTCTGTTTTGTAGTGTAATGTAATGTAATGTAATGTAGTGTAGTGTAATGTAATGTATGTATGTCTGCATGTATGTATGTATGTATGTAATGTATGTATGTATGCAATGTATGTATGTAGGTATGTAATGTATGTAATGTATGTATGTATGTATGTATGTATGTACGTACGTATGTATGTATGTAATGTATGTAATGTATGTAATGTATGTAATGTAATGTAATGTAATGTATGTATGTAATGCATATGTATGTATGTATGTATGTATGTATGTATGTATGTATGTATGTATGTAATGTATGTAATGTACGTATGTATGTAATGTAATGTAATGTAATGTATGTATGTAATGATGTATGTATGTATGTATGTATGTATGTATGTATGTATATGTATGTATGTATGTATGTAATGTATGTATGTATGTATGTATGTATGTATGTATGTATGTATGTATGTATGTATGTATGTATGTATGTATGTATGTAATGTATGTAATGTATGTATGTAATGTCTGTATGTAATGTATGTATGTATGTATGTATGTATGAATGTATGTATGTATGTATGTATGTAATGTAATGTAATGTAATGTATGTATGTCTGTTATGTATGTATGTATGTAATGTAATGTAATGTAATGTAATGTAATGTAATGTAGTGCAATGTAATGTAATGTAATGTAATGTCATGTATGTATGTATGTATTTTACACATGTCTAATGCTTATATGCAATTACTCGCTCATTGGGCCTCCCACCTACAGTTTGAGGTGCCCTGGCGTCGTCCAGTGCTGGCCCCAGCTTCAGCCGCGCACAAAGGAGTTCTGGGCGTGGGGGGCATTGGGGGAAGGCGAGAGCAGGGGATTGGCGGCAGTTTTCTCTCCATCTTTTTCTGGGACGTGCAAGCCTATACCAGGATTTGGTATGGTTAATACAGTGACCACATTTGGGTGCACTGTATCAACTGTGGATTGCTTACTTTTTTTGGCGGAACGGGCACGTGGTCTCGTATCCAGCATCTCAGGCGACATTTGAGTGGGAGAACTAAGAGTGGTGAACGGGAGCTCTTTGGCTCGGGGAAGGGGCATTGTTCGTGTTCTGGCTCAAGTACTTTGCCTAACGTGCTTGCATTTCCTTGGGGATGTACAGGGCTACACAGCGGACAGCCTGCTTGTTGTTCACTCAGTGACGTCAGAGAAGCGTGCCATTGTCAACCAGAAACAGTCCTACAACGGAGACGTTAGCCGCATTTGCAGATGTTGGTGGTTGGTACCCACACTCCATTATTGGCATTTGAGAGATAAGCCGTACCTGGACGGGAGTGAAAAGGATACATGTCATATCCTCGCCTCCAAAGAGCTTATGTCCAACGAGGCGGAGGGCAGTCTGGCTAAGTGCACGTATACTACAGGTTGACTTTGTCCGTCCTGGGCTTGAGAGAGTCATGGTTCATCACATTTTAGCTAGAGTTGCTTCCTCATGGTTTTTAGCTATTTAGCTGGTCACCCATCCAGCTAGTCATGGTTCATCCTGCCACCAAACTTGGACACAGCATGAGGTCCGTGCCAGGAGCTCAGCCGCCAGCCAGGGCCGGAAGAAGCTGAAGGCGGGGGTGAGGGATGGAATGGCGCAATCGGTGACAATATATTTTTCTCATTTAGAGCCACAAGGGGAGCCACAGCAGAAGAACGTGACCCTTAGTATCTGAGACTGTGAAGTGGCAGCACCTTTCTTCCTTGGCTCCCCCTGCCACTCGTATCAGCGCCAGGGAATTTGTCAAAAAGGCTAGTTGCAGTGAGAGGGCCACACATGCCAGAGTTTATCCTATCCATGTCAGAGGCCACCGGATAGAGAATGCTGTCAGCACAAAGGTGAGGCAGTTGATGGCTTCTGCGTGGGCTTGTTTGCAGTAGTTTCTGTCAACACCACAATGAACAATCCCAATGGTGTGACAGATGCCTTCTTTGCACCTGCCTGGTCGGATGCTTTCACCCAGTTGAAACAGTAGATGCATCAGGGATATGTTTGCACTCCTTCCCCTTTCACCAGGCGTAATATCCCCATCCACAACCTTTGATCTAGTTTTGTGCAGGATTTGATCATCCTGTTGTCATGCATGTGGTTCACACATCCTCTTCAACCCATCCGGAGCCCCACACCAAGTCGGCCAGAAAAAGGCTCATCTCAAGATCCTGATTGTCGTATCCCACTCTTATAGCTTTTAGATGCCCATTTTGCAAACCAATGCTGGGTGATCATTGTAAACACGCCTAGCACTCACCATATATGTACCAGTCCCTGAGCCACGTACCCCCCCCCCCCAATGGTATCGTCCCCCCACTCCCCCGCATCATCTGCATCTTGGGGTGCTGTCCAGTACCGTGTGAGCCCTGCAGCTTCGGTCCCAGACTCCCCCTTTCACCCCGTGAACCAACACCCCAGCACCTCTCGCAACAGCCTACCCTAAAACCAAACCACCCTGCAACCCCTCCTTGACCCCAAACCCAAGCCTAAATCAACCCAAACCCCAAACCCACCCGAAACCCACCGCAAACCAACCCTGAACCCGGCCTGGAACATACATCCCGTGATGCAAGACGGTGAGGTGGCATCCCCTTGGCCTGTTGAGTGAACACCTGCCAGCAACAATCCCTCCACTCCTTCGCGTTCGCGCCTTTTTGTCCTGAGTTCCGAGGGAGTTCGGTCGTCCGAGTCCGCTTGGCCGTCCGCCCCTAGCGCCTGCGAGCGAGCGCTCTGGGCTTCGGCCAGAGGCCTACTTCATCAACACGGACCTGGACGAGGCCCGGCGCCGGGGCGCTGAGGAGACCTGCCGCCAGCTGGGCCTGGAGACTCGGAAGGTGAGAAGCGAGCCGAGCGCACTGGCTGGGAGTTGGGTCCAAGGGGGTACCTCGTAAATCAAGGCACAGGGACTCACTTCTCCCTTTGAGGCCCTTTTGTTACTTTTGCAGACCCTGCCAAAGGTCCAGGGAAGGGGATGGGCGGATTCACCTTGAGAGTTTTTGTGAACCTCAGCGGTCGCTCATCTTGCAACGGTCAGGCGGTCGCTCCGTGCGGTTCTTGAAACCCTGCCTGAGCCAAGCGCCTTTCTCGGTGATCCCCACTTCCAATACAAAAATCTATTTTATTGGCTGGTCGGCTCTGTAGAAACTTGCCAGGGGAGGAACATTGAACTCAATGTACAAATCGAGGCGAGGCAGGATCTAGCCTCCATTGTTGTCTTTCTAGTTCATGCAGTAGAAAAGCTATGCCTTGAATCCCTCTCTCTTGAAGGCGGAAGCACAGCAAAGCACAAGAGGGCTCGGAACGGTCCGGGCACTTTTGGTGCCAGCCCTCCTTTTCGGCAAAGCGGCACGCGGGTCTCCAGGGCCCTGATTGCCGAGGACTGCCGCCGGGTTGTGCCGCCGCAGCTGAGAAGCGCGGAGGTGCAGCGCTGCGTGGAGACCACGCCGTTGAGGGCCTTCGAGCCCTGCGGCCTGAGCTTCGGGGGGGCTGAGGTTAGGGTGCGAAGGACACGGCTCGGGAGGGAATTGCTGCGGGCTTGATGTCACAAGCCTGTCGGAGAGAGAGAGAGAGAGAGAGTCATTGGTCGATGCTGCAGTAACATCATTCTTTTTGGCGAAGCCACGCGCGTGCGGCATAGCATGTTTGGCGCACATCACGGGAGTGCATTGTGCACAGCCACAAATCATGCACCGGCACACAACAGACCAACATTCTGGCCGCGCATTAGTTTACTGTACCGAATTGTGGCGCATCATGTCTACGACAGGCAAAATCTGGTAAAACCAAAGCGCCAAAAGCACTGAATGTAACTTGGAACTCGGAGCCTTTGCCAGTCCGAGGTGCTCCCTGGTGCATGCGCACCGCAGCATCTTGCGCCAGATCCGCGCGGCGCAAGATCCAGCCGTGGTGTTGGAGGATGGTCGGTCGTTTTGATTTGTTTTTTCGGGAGTGCTCCTTTACGCGGGCAGAGATGGGTCTCTCACAACTGATCGCCGATTGAATCGACCATAGGGATGACCAAATGTATTTGTGTGGCTGGGGAGCAGTGCAAGCTTATTTTTGAAGGGTCTTCGCTGGATGGCATGTGGCTCAAGAAATTGCTCCACCCCAATCCGCAATTTAATGGTTCCCATCAAGACCCATTGTAAAGCTCTGTGCTCAACACGACACCCTTCTGACGTGATCCACGTTGTTCCAGCCAAGGGCAGCCAGTTCTGAGGACGATGCCCGCCTCAACGGCCGAGTCTCTCCGCAGCATGGCCAGGACCGTGGAACCTAGAGACCAAAGCCGCACCAGCCACATAGCCACACAAAGCCACTTGCCAAGCAGAGTGACATCGTTTGAGTAACTTTCCCTCTCTCAAAGCTGATCAAAGCTGACCCGACATGGGCTATGGGGAGAATGCGGAATTTTTAGTATCCTGTTGTTGGCCCCCCTGACCCAACCGCAGGGGCCTGGAGTTGGACGGTTCACTGGCAGTTGCATTTTCCTCGCTTGGGGCGGCTGTGTTTGGCCTGTTTCTGGCTGGGCTGTGTGTGGCCGCGTCGCAGGATTTGCTGGCCAGAGTCAACTCCCGTGACTTCGTGATGATGGGCTGGCGCCTGTGATGCAACAGCATGCATGCAGTTTGGATGGCTAGATTGAGGGTGCGAGGAGTTGGGGCAGGCTGGGGCTATCGGCTCATGGGGTTGCGTTGTTGCAAAGCAATGAGAATGGAGCACGTTGGCTGTCAATATGGCTGTGATAATTTAGGACAATCAGGACTTCAGCAATCCATCAAACGCTCAGTACCAGCCCAAACCACTTGCATTATGTGTTTGTTTCGGAGCATGATTGGTGACATGTGTGCAGCAAACCTTGACATACGGCGCGCATACCCCCCTGTTTGTTTAGCATGGACTGGCCCCAAGATTGGTGAGATTCCCCAGAACACGTGCAAACTGCAAAAAAGAACTAGATGCTTCACGGAAACGACATGAGCAGCGGCAACCAGCCCTGACATCTGGAGACTATCAGGCGATCAAGCCGATAAGAAACCGACAAGAAAACGAGCATGTTCCAGAGCTTTGCGACCAGCTGTCTGTTCCATGACCAGCCAAGACAAGAGAGCATGGAGAAAGAGGCTTGTTTGGAGGCAGCGCTGCCAAAACTTGGAGAGAACAAAAAGGCGCCGCCAAGCTGCTCGAAAGACGTCTGTTGTTCTCTTATCGTTGGCATACTCCTTCATAGGAGTAGGCTTCATCACGCGGTGGAAGAAATCTGGAAAACAATTAGAAGGAGGAACAACGAGACTAGAAAGCTACAGCGAAGAATGTGGGGACGAGGAGTCAATTGTCTCCTGTGACTAGGACATGACATGTGCACTCCGGTCAGGTGCGATCCGTCCTGTGCCCATGCCTACTTCGTGCTGCTCGGCGCAACATGGCGTTGGGACATGACAACAATCTAGACAAGTAGAGCAGCTAGCTCTGAGGTAGCAAAGTCAACCTGCAAAGATGCCTGTTCTGTCTTTAAGTTGAAACAGCATTTGTCTGATCCTCGTACAAGCGTAGCTGCCTTCTCTTGCCGCGGAATTAACTCAAATGCCTTCAGACGGTCACAGCCTTGGGAATGCTGGTGGGCCTTGCCAGTAGTGCATCAAGCAATTGAAAATGCCGTGGGCCCCCTGTCTATCTCAGATGACCAGATCCTTTCATCGCTTGTCACTACCGATCGTGGCATTCTGAAGAGCCATGTTTGGGCATCCCATGGAACTGCTCAAAGGCCACTGCGATCACGGTGTCGTAGTTGGAATCACCGCAGCCCAAACCTTCCGCGTGTTTTTTTAGATTCGGGCCGCGGTCCGGACCGCTGACTCTCGGCAACAGGTCCCCAGCTGGCGCCACCATGCTGCTGGGCCGCGGCTTCGAGAGCTGCTGGGAGAAAGACAAGCAGAAGCCTCGCATCCAACGCGACCCGTACTTTTGGGCACGTCAGCTGGTACAGGGGAAGATCTTCCGTCCCAATTTCTTCATCATCTCAGCACCACTCATTGAATGAAATCGAGCGTGTGTTTTGGGATCACTCAGCCTAGCAAATGCACTCATCTGGCTGAGTGGTTGTTGCTGTTCATGATGGCGATTCTGCAAGCGTCTTAAGTGAGGTGCACCTTACGCGGACATGAAGGGATACACGAAGAGAGTGGGCAGACAAGAAAGGCGACACCGCCAGCTGCCCAGCTGGCTTTTGTGCCTCAGGCCCACGGCTGCCGGCAGACTCCATGTTCCCAGCTCCTTGCATTGGGATTGGCGGATATGGGGGCAGCGATGGGGCATGGAGACATTTTGCAGTTTCTTTGTGATAAGGGGTGCATTGCCCTCCTCGAACGCTTTGATCAAATTTCTTGTCTGTCTCGGAGTGTTGGACAGCTTCGAGCTGTCGGTGCAGCTGCATTTGTCAGCTTCCTGCATCAACCTGCCCTTCTGAGCTGTTTATGGCTCCTTCGGCACAGGGAAGGGAGCGACCGACAAGCTCCGACTGCAACGCGCCCCCAGTCCAAAAACCACTATGCATCTCCCTCACTTTTCGCAGCTGCGTGAACTTTCGAAGAAGACACAGTGTCTTCGTACCAGCTTTGCCTTCACCAGGGAACCTGTGAGCCTGAGTCCCTGTGCTGCACAGCCTCGCCCGAGGCCTTTGAGCCGGAGGCGCGGAGAGGGGGAGAGTCTTGAGAGCGCTCCAAGTTCCTTCCGGTTCATGGAAAAAGGGAAGACCACCGTTTGGTGCAGAATGGCTTTCAGGAGACAGGCGGCGAATTTGCCCATTGGCAATGCGAGGTTTTGAGCATTTGGCGGAGATTGAGGAACCTAAAGGGTCCCCGCAAGCAAGGCAAGGCTGCTGTTCAAGAGAGCAGTGCTGGGCCTGTATGTTGCATGGGTTTGTTGCATGTCTCATTTGCTGGGCCTGTAGTTGGCTCATTTGGTTGATTTGCTTGTTGACTTGTTGTATGTACATGAAGGAACGAGTGAGAAGCCCTCCATTTGCCCCAGACCGCAATTCGGATGCAAGCCAGCAGTTCATACAATACACAACGCTCCTAGTCTTTGGTCCCGTCACGTGCCTTGCGAGGATGTGCTCTTCCCGGAAAGGTGTCCCGGTGGGCACCTTGGCAGACACGTACTGAATGAAGAAGCAGCACACGCTGCCAGTTTCGCATTTTGCATAGCCCCTGGAAACCAATATAAGTGTCACGTATATATGTATATACAAAAACACTACATTACGTTGCACTACATTACATTACACTACATTGCATTACATTACATTGCATTACATTGCACTGCGTTACATTACATCGCATTACATTACATTGCATTCCATGGCATTACTTTACATTACATTACATTACATTACATTACATTACATTACGTTGCATTGCATTATACTACATTACATTGCATTACATTACATTACATTGCATACCATTGCACTACATTACATTACGTTACATCGCATTACATTGCATTACATTACATCAGATTGCGTTAGACTACATTACTTTGCATTGCTGTACAAGACTTTTCATTACATTACATTACATTACATCACAACACATGACATTACGTTACATTGCATTACGTTACATTGCATTGCATTACGTTACATTACATTACATTACATTACATCACATTGCATCACATTACTTTACATTACAGTGCATTGCATTACATTACAGTACATTGCATTAGTTACACTACATTACATTACATTACGTTGGATTGCATTACGTGACATTGCATTGCATTACATTACATTGCATTACATTGCATTACATTGCATTATATTGCATGACGTTACATGGCGTTACATTTCATTGCATTGCATTGCATGACATCACATTGCATTGCATTACACTACATTGCATTACATGCTTACGTTACATTGCATTGCATTACATCGCATTGCATTACATTACATAGCATAACATTACATGACATTACATCACATGGCATTAGATTACATTACTTTACATTGCTTTACATGACATTTCATTACATTACAGTACATTACAGTACATTGCATTACATTACATTACATTGCATACCATTGCATTACATTACATTACATCAGATTGCGTTAGACTACATTACTTTGCATTGCTGTACAAGACTTTTCATTACATTACATTACATTACATCACAACACATGACATTACGCTACATTGCATTGCATTACGTTACATTACATTGCATTACATTACATTGCATTCGATTACATAACATACATACATACATACCTACCTACCTACCTATCTACCTACATACATACATACATACACATGACCAGTTCCAGGACTGAAGAGTTGAACTTGTGCTTCGTGGAGAAGCGATTGAGGGATCATTTTTGGTTTCACAACTTGTGCGGCAAGGATGTGCGGCATTGAGGATCCCAATGTTGCGAGCTTGTCCCACGGATACTCGGGACATTGGACTGCTGAGGTATCCTGGGGACATTGGACTGCTATGTCAGGATAGATCAACACCTCACTGCAAGTCCTACTCGTTTCTTGTCTGCAAATTTTGCAAGCTCTGACTTTCTTGTATGCCTACACCTTGTCAACATGAGGTAACTAGAGGACAGGACACTGTTGCATTTTTTTTGTTGCATCGCGAAGTGGTGAGAGGCTGCATTTGAGCACAAGCAACATCTAAGCGCTTTTGATTCAAAGAAACGCGCCGCTGCCTTTGGCAGAGGTACTACTGACCCATTTCGAGCTCGCTCTGGTCCCCCTGCTTCGCGCCGCGAAAAGCCGAGAACCTGCTCGATGGCCATTTGAGCCTGTCCCGGAGTGTCGGGGATCGAGACTCCTCTGAGCCGGCGCAGCTGATCCAGGTGACGCACCATCGGCATTCTGCAGTCCCCGTGGACTGCTAGAGCTTGAGCTGTGTGGGCGAAAGCGCACCGCTGATGGCTTGCGCAAGCTTGAAATCAAGGGACGCAGGTGCAGGTGTTGGTCTGTGCAAAGCCCAGGCAACCAATACCACACCAGATAGTCTCAGCCGCTGGCCCTTCTCCCCACAAAGTACCGTTTATCCATGGCTCTTGGTCGATTGATGCACTTCTTCATCCATTGCTCAGCCCGCCAGGAGGACCCAGATCATGCGCAAGAGCAGACCGATTCCGTGATGATCGATGAGGTGAAGGCGTTTGCTCATTGCCAGTTAGATACCTGTCAAGTATCCACAGACCCATTGGTTGATCAGCTCTTACAATAAAATATTGGCGGGCAGAATGTACCCTACGCAGCTGCCAGCCACAACGAGCCTCTTGTTTGGTGCGTGACCAACTGACTTGACATGGGGTTATTGTTTCTATGCTTTCTCATTCGTTTGTATCTCTGCAATATTCTTGCTTAGCCGTGGGTGCAGTAAGATCATTGCAACGAGCCCTGAAACAGGAACCTGCTCTTGGAAGGTTCCTGCACAGCTCGTGCTCCATTGCCGTGAAGCTGTCAGACTGTTCTCTGATTTGGCCTCATTCATTGACCTGGGGGAAAAGTCTTGCCCAGTCTACCCAGTCGCACGCAGACACATGCTGACGTTTCCTGGAGAAGCGCAGATCTATGAACTTTCGAAGCCCAGCCCCTCCCACTTGTCCCCTCTGTTGGACCCTTGTACTTCTTGAATCCTTTGAATAAGAAAGTGGCCATTCTCTCGGCTTCTCAATGCCGCACTGGAATCTACTTCGCACATCCGCAGGTGAAGGCGTTGCAGTCTGCCGCCACCCGAAAGAACGAGACGTCGCTGGGCTGCAAGGGAAGTGGGTGGCAAGGTGGCGGCTCGGATGCGAAGCACTGAATGGATTTCCTCTGCAGACATCGGAACATCAACATTTATCGTCTATGATGCGCCGTTACAATCAAACGAGACAGACAGGGAAGGCGAGAGAGAGAGAGAGGTAGAGAGAGAGAGAGAGAGAGAGCGAGAGCGAGACATTTTTTGCTGTATGTGTTTCCTCACGGAACTTCAAACGCCCGCCTTTTTGTGCCGGCGGCAATTGCCAAGAGGTGTTGATGTTTAGGCTTCTGTGAAGGCTTGAAGGTGGAGCCACGAAGACATTTCCAGCAACATGGACTTGATGACCAGCCTGTCAGAGGATCCACTGATGCAGACATGACTAGCAGCTCTGTAGTAGGCTCTGGCTTTGTGGCACCTCTTGGAAGCTATGTGGGTTTGATGTTCTTATAGCCGTGGGGGGGGGGGGGGTTGCGGGCAAGGGCTGGACGGAGGTGGGGGTGGGTGGGTTGCTTGCTTAAGATTTTCCAGAGTCAGCCCTTATGTCGTTGGCTAGTGGGCGCACGTTTGCAAAGATCTAGGGATGGAACTACACACTCCTTGCTCATACCCCTTGGCTTCCCTGGTTAGAACCCTTCTTTATAAGGGGCGAACACCCCGACCAAAAAAAGACTCCGCTGAGTTTCCGCCCCAATATGGCCACTTCGGGGGGAATTGCCATTCTAAAGGGTTCCAGCCCCCAGAGACACAGTTGAGAGACTCGCGAGCGGCCCAGCGGCTTCAGGACTTTTGGGGAGTCTCAGAGATTAAACAGTTGGGTGGTGGAGGGACTTTACTTAAGACAACTATTTTATCCGTCATTTGCCTTTTTTTCATCGCGTTGAACATCCCAAGGGGTCACATGACCATGACTTGTGTCATGGCGCCGAAGCGATGATTAGTCTCAGATGGTGTTTCGTCCCAAGGGAAGTGGGACGAGTAAATCCGAAGGCAATAATTGGAGGGGAACCTCAGGTTTTTTGAAGCCGAATGTTCGGCATTCCGGGCACCCAGGCACCAAGAGGTGGCTCCGGTGGTCTCTAGCCGCAGCAGCCTGTTGAAGGTCGGGCCCTGGAGAGCTTCTCAGGTGACTCCAATTGGGTGGTTTGGGTTTGCACCATGCATGCGATCCGTGGGTAAAATCGGCTCTCCATCCTGAGGTTCTGCAAGCCTTCGTCCCGTTCTGGCGGGAAGTTAAATGATCATACTTGATCGGCAGTATTCGGAATAGCTGAGACCACCCGTTTTTCGGCAGCTAGAGGAAGCTGCTCACATTTGTTTGCCCTACAGCCATCACCTTCGATCAGGATGCAAACAGGTACTTGCTGCGGTCCCGCCATCTCCTGAGGTCTCAGGGTCTAAATTGTAGTGTGGTTTCCGTTTGTGGGACACCTCGGAGACAGGGCACGCCCGCCAGGCCGTGAGCGAGCCCCAGGCATGCTGTGCGGCGTTGGCAAACCTGCCGTTGGGAGACCCAGGCGGCGCTTACTATTATTTGGGATATTGTGGCTAGGGTCTCGACAACAATTTCTTTTTTTTCTTCTTTTTTTCTCTCCCCTTTTTTTGTTTCTTTTTTTTTTCTTCTCCTTTTTGTTTTTCCCTTTCTGGTGAATCAAGAATCAAGACCAATGTGTGTATGCACAAGGCCACTTGACGAAACTGCCATGCCAGTAAGAGGCAGCACCCCAACTCCGAAATCATTTTTCATTACTGTTTGACTACGGCAATTTGTCGGGTTGTTGTCTGAATCCAAGCGTTGGCGTCCAGAATGTTTCAGATGGAGCATGACCCGATTCAAGTCCGCATTTTTGCCTTCAGAGTGCACATAGCATGTGCAGGCCCACAGAATCTTTCCCAAAAGACAAAG